TTATATGACTAAAATAGTCATTGCCTTATTTACCCGGAAATAAAAAAATATGTATAAATGCACTTACCTAGGTAGATAACTTACCAAAAAACAAATGAGGCCTTATTATTTTTTTCCAATGGTTCCAGCTATAGTCAAAACCTTAACTCGTTCCTCCCTTGCTCTCTACATATAAACACTTGACTCTGCCATTGTGTACCAGAAGGCTCCACCCAATTTGGATCCAACAGGCATTCCTAAGCTAAGCAACAAACCAAGCAAGAAAATGAAGGACATGGATGCTTTTTTGATATGCAAAATGGTGTGTATTGGGAATTTCAAACAATGAAATTCTAGTATTTTTTGGACAATTTCTTTAAACTATCCCTACTATTTGCAAAATTACCATTCCCATTAAAATATTAACAGAAGGGCTGAAATGTCTGTTTTGCCCTTAAATCAAATTCGAAGCTTAATCACGGGAGAGTGTTACCGCTACTCCACTGCGGGAGAGAACAACACTGGAGTCGCCGCAATTGGCGACGATGACTTTCTCCATCCCAACAAGCACCACCACAACCGTTGATTCGTTTGGAGAGAGAGCTAGAGCTAAAGAGGCACCTTTGAAGATGAGGAATTTGAGGGTCTCCAGTGCAAAATAGATGAAAGCCCCCCGAGAATGAGTGACGAAACAACCTAGATCCACAAGTCGTGTCGAAATCCTTTTTTATGTGGGCAGTAATGGATTTGTAGTCAAAAGCGTCATAGAGGGGAAGCAGAACTCATGGCTTGTATCTGATCTTCACAGGCATGTCTGTGTCTTTCTATCAGAGCTTTACCCTCCAACATCCTCTCCTATCCTCTTTGCTCTATGAAACCCACCAACGGGAAAGGGTTCTCATTGTCTCGATCTCTTCTAAATGAAAAGAAAGCAGAAGAAGAAATCAGAATACAAATAGGCCTCAATGAAACTCACCAACATCACCTTCACGTTTCTGCCTTCCAAATGTTAAGAAAAATCCAGAAAGGATTTAATGCTTTATTGAAATCTTTGCTACTGACACAAAACCCAATATATCTAGAGACGACGTGGGAAGCCAATGCTTTGTTGAAAACTTTCCTCCCTCCCTTCCATTACTGGTCTTCGGCGATGTGGGAAGCCAATATATCTAGAGTCGGAGGCTAACTGAGACGGTGTTCTCATCGTTTTCCAAGGATGACAATGATGCCGATGATGTCGATGAACTTCCCTGCCCCGACCAACATCGGTACCCCTTTGTTCTCCGAGGATGCCGACGATAATGACGAGTGATTGGACGACAGCTCATCAGAACAAGTGTTTGGAAGGAGAGAAAGAGAGTGGAGGTGGAGGTGGATATCGCCGCCGGTTAAGCACCGAGCTACCTCGGTTTGTCGTTATTGAAAGGAAGAAGAGGGTAAGGTTAAAATTAGCTTTTAAACAAATATACAGCACGTGTGTATAAGTTATAAGGTAAAGCTATTCAATTGTGTACCGTTAGATAAGTCAAACAGTAAGAGTATGTTTAGTCAATTTCACATACAATAAGGGTAGTTTAACCCTATTTTTTTCCACTATTTGATTTTGACATTTTATCAAGGGGTAATGTCACATTACAAATTATCATATATAGCATATTGATCACCTTGAAAAACCAGACGTATCATATGATCGTTCATTGAATTCCCAAATTGGATTGGTCTCTGTTAGCTGAGTTCCTTGACAAATTACTTTCAGAACTGCCAACTGTCTATGTCTCCTAAAGAAACATGCAATTCTTATGAAGTGTATTACAAGTTTTTCTAATAGCAAATGCATCAAGTATCTACCTTGTCTACCAAAAAAGAATTATACCAATGTATCTAGGGGTGCTCACGGTTCGGTTAACCGAATCGTGGGGTATTTTTTTTCAAACCAAATCGATCTGATCAGTTTTTAAATATCTGAATCGAAATTAAATTGATACAATTGATTAAACGGTGGGCCAGTTAATCGTAATTCAGTTTTTCGGTTTTTATGCACTTAAAATAAAAAAGAAAAACCTAAAATAGAGAGATAGAGACACAGACGGAGATGGCACTTAAAATAAACTTGGTGGTTGACGCAGGCCGCACGACGGAGATGATAGGTGAGAAGAGAGAGATAGAGACACAGACTCGCTCACTCACAGAGAAGAGAGAGAGAGAGAGAGAGAGAGAGAGAGAGAGGCAGACACTAGGGGAGAGCCAGAGAGGTTGTCGATTGAAGGACGATCGACACTGGAGGAAAGCTAGGGGAATTGCATGCGGCACCGACTACTGACCTGGCCACTTGGGATTGGGGAATACGAAGACTCGAAGAGAGACTGAGAGAGTGAGAAACAAAGAAAGATTGAAAAGGTATTAGGTTTAGGTTTCAAAGAGACAAAGAAGGGGAAAGGGGGAATTGCCGTGGTTTTTTACTTTTTTATTTGATTTTAACCGAAACTGAATCGATCGGTTCAGTTAACCGATTTTTTGATTTGATTTTGGTTGATTTTTTTCGATCAGTTCGGTTTTTCGATTTTTTTTCTCACCTCTAAATGTATCCAACATTAAAAAACAAAATAAACTATATAAAAAGATTGGAAAAGGATTGAAATCAACATCCTCGTCCTCATCTTCATCATCTTTTCATCTTCCTCAAGAAGAATCTTCATCATCTTTTCATCTTCCTCAAGAAGAATTATACCAATGCAGTAAACATGGAAGACTTCTAATGACTGCCACCACCCCCTCTTCCACAATTTGATATGTTGTCTACAAGTTTCACTGAATGAACAATTAAAATCAAGGTTCCAAAAATGCTATATAGGCTTGTCTCTCTGTTAATCAAAGCCTGAATGAATGAAACAAGGGCAGTCACAATTAGTATCTTAATAAGCAAATTGCTTCAAAACCAATTTCTAGAAGAGAGTACCTGAATTAATGATAAAATATTAGGGTTGTAAAATTGACTTTTTATGTGAAAAATGAACTAATATCATCAGTGAAATTAGTCTTTTTCTCTTCCTAATGCAAGGACTGAACCATGTTTTTTAAGTTTGAAACAAGCATTTCATTATAGTTATACTAAAATTAGTCTATAATTCAAAATATGGAAAAGAATGATAGTTAACAGGTACCAAAGAAAAGAAACCACTTCAAAGACTTAGCATACTCAGCAAGTTGGAATAATATAACTCCGAAAAGATATTGCATATATTTGGTTATGTGGATGTTTATTGAAAAAACCCCACTGCATTAGCGTTACATAGGTGTTGGCATTTATTGCATATCAAATAATATGAAACAATTGTTTAGTTTCACCGTTTATCAAATAAATGGTAGAAAACTGAAATACTTTGATTTTTGTGTATGGGTATTTGGGAAAATGTCAAATTCTTGTTTTTCCCAATGCCCTAGCATTTCTAGAAACCAAATGCTGATGTGACACACTTTAATAGGTATTAACCTAAGGTAGAAAAAAAAAAAAACATTTAAAGTAATGTTCAACCACACAACAAAAATAGAAAATGTTTAAAGTGAAAAAGTACAAATAGATGGCCCATCAATAAATGCCCACATAACCAAATACATACATTTTAAGCACATACAAAGCATCGGACCCTTAGATATTTAGTTATAAAAGATTATTAGCATCCAACATTAACTGCTCATTCAGATAGATTCCAAGATCAGCCACTGAACATGTAATATATTTATGCACTACTTATTATACTTGTAAGTGGCAGCCTTTGGCTGTTTGTACTAGTCCTTTTCCATTACAGTAATATGCAATAGTGGGGTTTCCTCTTCCTTTATCACTTAAAAAAATTCTCAGATTTAATGTTACTGATTAAGAAAAATGAAAAACAAAAAAAAACTTAACATTACTATTTCTACAATGAAGTTGCAAACGGACTACGTCAATTAAGAAAAAACACAAATGCAAATTTTATGCAAATAGAAAATGTTTAGCCCATAGGCCGTGTTTGGTTGCAATACAATTTCATTTGCACTAATACAAATACATGGGACTGCAAATGAAGAAAATACAAATTCCCATTTAATTTTGTTTTGGATTTTACTTTATTCTACTCTTAATTTACTTCATTTTTACTGCAATCAAACAAAATAAGTTAAAAAATGAAACAAAAATAGGTCAGAATTTATAATCAAACTATTTGCACTGCTATAGTTTTACATCAGTGCACATTTATTTACATTGCAACCAAACACTGCCATAGGTCCAGTTTGACAGTTTGAAACACAAATGCAATACAGCACAAATACAAACAAAATAGTACAAAATACAAGGTTTTGCACTCTTCATATTTTTTACTCATTCCAAACTGAGCAATAGATTCAAATTTTAATTTTCCCATGAATTCCCTTCAAGAGGAGAATGAAGCCAAAAAGGCTTTTCTCAGACAATTTCTTCCATCCATTCAAACCTGCTAGCTTCTTTTTGTCCTTGTTCAAATTGATCTAACCAAGTGCACACTCGAATTGAGGAGGGGATGAGGAGTTAACATTTTTGGTTTGATGTTTAATCATGCTGACCATCTCTGTACTTTATTTTTCAAAAAAATATATTGACCTATACACCAATAATCTCAAAGGTGAATCTCTTTATCTGTACCTTATGATCTTCAATTTGTTCCATTACTACATCTTCTTCCTGGAGACCATCTTCAAGCCGATCGTATGAATGGGTAGTAAGGTTATTGTCATAAATTTTCATGGCTATTTTCTAATTATTGAGCTATTAATAGTCTTCCTAATTGCATTAGAAGTTGGTTTTCCTAACATAGAAAATGGTATTTACCAATAAAAAAAACATATGAATGGTTGTAATTTGTAAACAATGGTAGATTTGGAACTTGGTTCACCGCTAGATTTTCAGAGCCCAGTAGCACGTTTTGAAATTTGGAGACATTAGCCCCAAAATACAGGGTCCCTTCGCCTCTTTGATTTTCGAACGATGGATGTCCAAATGGGAATTAACAGGGGAAAATTACAATCCAAATCTCTGTTTCATTGCTCAACCCATTTACAAACAGAATCCCACAAAGTTCTTTACAGACCATAGACGGAGAGACGACACAAGAAAACCCAAACATAGACAAAGCACACAACAAATACAGACTCTCAAGTCTCAACCAATAACCCACTCCATCATTTTGCGCTTCTGAAAAGCAATTTAACCAGAGATTTCAATGGCTTTCACCTCGGGTTTCTTTACCTCTTCCTTGGCAACTGTGACAGTCAGCACTCCATTCTCCATGGATGCCTTCACCTGATCCATCTTTGCGTTTTCCGGCAATCTGAATCGCCTCAAGAACTTGCCGCTGCTCCTCTCCATCCGGTGCCATTTGTCGTTCTTTTCTTCATGCTCCCTGCTCCTCTCTCCACTAATCTGCAGGACCCTTCCCTCCTCCACTTCTACCTTCACTTCTTCCTTCTTCAGCCCCGGAAGATCAGCCTTGAACACATGTGCTTCAGGGGTTTCCTTCCAATCGATGCGGGCATTGACGAAGGCAGAGGTTTCCAAAGCCGAACTGGGCACAGAGCTGGGGTTTGTGCCGAAAGGGAAGCCCTCGAAAGGGTCACAAATATCCAGAGAAAATGGGTCAAAGATGTTGCTTCGTCGTCCGCTGAAGATGCTAGGAATGAGAGACATTCTTTACAATCGCAGGATTTAACAGAAACTCGGATGTTGAACAGAGAATATCAGACCACGAATGGAGAATTGAGAACTGAGAATTGACGATGCATACGTCGAAGGCGGAGTACAGATTTATAGGCATGGGAATTGGGAAAGGGACTCTCGAAGACTGGAACGTTCAGTGTTTCTCGTCGCTTGTAGACTGTTGTGTCTGATCAATCTGTAAGCTTCTTGGTTGCTCTAGAAATGAAAAGAGGCCATGAGAAAGGAAACGAAAAATCTGTAATCTTCCACCTCCTTCCCCACCTTCCTGTCCGCTTTTTGTTTGGTGGGGTCGGTTCAATTTGTAGGCTGAAAGTAGCGTTCGAACCTTCAAGGTGGAGACGGAATCTGCTCTTCACGCAGGGGCGCTGACAGGCACATCCACCGTGCATTGGAAGCATCTCCCATGATTAATAGGCCCACCAAGTGTTTGTAGATTGACAGCTCTAGCCTGTTTTTGATTGGACAGATTCCCAATCTCATGGGCCCATGGGAGATAAATATTTAGGACCCTTAATCGGTAAGACGGGCTTGCCTTTTAAGGATTCGCCAGCGGGGACCGTGCGATGTACGAGAAATTTGAAAGATTTAATAATTTTATTTATTATTAATTAATATTAAATTAATAATTAAAATTTGTTAATAATTAACTAAAAGTATTCAAAGTTATTATTAATATTTAAAATTTTAATAATTGTATTTTTTATCTAATATTGATTTATAAAAAATAATTATTCTTAATTTAATATGAATAAATATCTTTTAATAAATTTAGTTTTACTAATAATTTGTAGTAATTTTAATAATTTTTATTATTTTAAATAAAACTTTGATTTATTTTAAATAAATAAAAATAATTACAAAAGCTAACATTTTTATTAATTTCAATAATAATTAACAATTATATAGGAATGACAACAAGGTGGGTTCAGGGCAAGGCACCTCATCTTTGTTCCTGTCCCATAGTCAAGACACTCTACTCCATCCCGGTGGACCCCTCCCCTCCTCAGTGTTAGGCAGGTTCAGGGCAAGGCAACCACTCCCCAATGTCAAGCGAGTTTAGGGGCAAGGCACCCCACTCCTCATTAAGGATGGAGAATCCTCAAATTTTCTCGCCCCATCCCCAGTATTGGGTGAGTTCAAGTAGAGGTGTAAATCAGGTTGTGCTGGGTTGGCATGACACGATCCGTATGTGGCCCCATACAAAGTGTAGGCCATGCGGCCCATGCTGTGTTGGCCCACAAGGAGTCCTAGGTCATGCCTCCCTCCCTTGGGATAATTTGGGGGGCCGGTTTAGCACAACCCACAGCTCGAGCCCGTACGGGCCTGTGTCGTGGGTCGGGTTAGTCCATAGGCCAAGCCTTGGGCCAAGCCAAGCCGCCAATTGGGCCAAACTATGAGAGGTCCATTTAAAAAAAATTGAAAAAGATGTTTAAATTTCTATTTTATATGATTTTTGATGTATACAATTAGACCTATTCATGGGTCGAGTAGCCCGGCGGCCCGGCTCAGCCTGACTCGTTATTTTTCAGGCATGGACAAAATTTCAGGCCTATGGGCTTGAGCTCGAGCTTTCTTAAATAAGCCTGACCTGATACTATTACATATATAAAAAAATACTTATGTTATATATATATGCTTCTTAAATTATTAACAAATATCAATTTACTATTAAGAAATATAAATTATTAGTTTATAAAAGTATACCGAAAAAAGACATTTTATGTACAAGTCGGGCTTCGAGCTTGGGCTCGATTTTCAGGCTTTATATAAGGGCTGGGCTTGGGCTCAAGATCCATGTCTGATGGTCGGGCCGGGCTCAAGCTTAGGCTTGCACATTTTCTATTGATAAAGAGGCCGTATTAATTATAAAACTATGGTTTTTTATAAATTAAATTCTTTATTTAATTCTAGTATAGTATATATATTAATATAATTTTTTTATTTAAATATTATATAATAATATTTACCATGTATGCATATAACTTTCAAGTTAAGCTTATTAAGGGTTATTTAGCTTAGGCCCTATCTGTTAAAGTCAACATTGGACTCTAAAACTTTGATACCCAATTAGACTTCGAATATGATTATCCTTGATAATGTGTGGACATAGTGCATATCTCAGCTAGACCTAACTTAAAAGAAAATAGTTACTTGAGCCTGCAAATTTATAGATATAATATTTGCTCAAGTTATAAATGATTTGTTACTTTTTATTAATTATTAAAATATTGTTAGTTATTAAAATATAATAATTATTAAATTATTGTATTTATTTAAAATATAATAATTTTTGGAAATTATCATATTTTCAAAAATATTGCTAATTTCTTGGTTAAAACTAATTAAAAGTAATTTTCTACTATTTATAGCTTAAAAATAATTATTGTTAATTATACTATTGTTAATAATTAAAATGCATTATTTTTCATTATTACATTAAATTTAATTTTTTAATTATTTTTGGTATTTTAATTAAGCTTTAGGTTTTCAGAATTTTCAGATTTTTAATTAATTTTTAGTGTTTTCATTATTATTCAGTAATTTTTGCATATGAGTATTTTTTCAATAATTTTCAGTATTTTCAGCATTTATTTTTGCATATTAGTCAATACAAAATTAATTTGCATTTGATTTTAGTAAAAATAAATTAAATAAGTAAATAAATACCATAGTTAATAAAAAATACAGCTAGTTTTCAATATTTTTAAATAATTTTTGGCTTGGGCATTTTTTTAATAATTTTTGGTATTTTTTAGTAATATAATACTGTTAATTATACTTTTTGATTATTTTCAGTAAATACCCTTATTAATATAAAATATTATTTTTAATTTTGAATATTTTTTAATTATTTTAATTATTTTAAATATGTTTAGGTTTTTTTAGATTTTTCTGGATTTTTGAGTTATTGTTGGTATTTTTCAATATTATTCAATAATTTTTGCATATGAGTAATTTTGCAAAATACTATTAATAAAACATGTTCTACATTTTGAATTGTCATTAATTTTTATCATTTTTAACGAGTTCATTATGTGCAATAAAGATCTCAACTTACACAAATTATTAATTAATTAAAAATGCATTAATACAAAGTTATCTAATAATATTGTTAAAATTATCAATTAATATTTTATATTTAAATTTCTTATTTTTATAACGTTTATTAAGAGGCCTTGGAAAGCCTAAAGGTCTCTCTCTATTAGTGTGCAGTTTTATTAATTTAATCAAGATAAGCAATGATTATTGTTTTATACTTTAAAATAAAAAAAAGAAAAAAAATACAAAAAATGGAAAAAATAGATAAATAACTTCTCTCAAAGGAGAGACATGCTGACATGGACAAATTTGTAAAGTGCAAAAGGTTATATTTTGTATTATTTTGTATGTATTTGTATTGTACAAATTTATTTTGTACTCTTTCCAAACTATGCCTTAGAAACAACAACAGTTTGGTAAGGAGAAAGTGAGAAACACATTTCTCCAAAAGGGCCTTAATTTTTTTAGCTAGTAATTTAGCAATTATCTAATAAACAACATTACAAAAGCTTTGGGCTAAAAATCATTATCTTTCTTGGGAAGCAATGTAATAAAAGTATGATTAAAACACCACAAACTTCCTATTAACAAAACAAATCCTCACATAGTCCACATAATGTCCTCTTTCATTTGATCCCAGAAATATTTATACACAATTGCAAGGATACCATCAGGCCCAAGAACAATGTCTGCTTAATTTCCTTCTCTTCTAGAATTCTAACCAAGTCCGTATTCTCTTCTTCAAGAAATAATAGGAAAAAAAAAAGATCAGAATTAGAGTCTAAATTTTGTATAATCAGTAATATTCTACACTATCAAATCGTGGTCACTTATCCACCTACCATCCTCTAACCTGAGCCGATCAATCTTATTCCTATTTTGTTTCGTAGAAAAAAAATTTGGGGGCCGCTTGGCAACTTCTGGTAGCTTTTGATTGAAGATTTGAGCAGTTCGAAACTAATTTGGCTACATGCATCTTATTGTGTCTTTCCATACAAGAATAAAGCAAAAAAGACGTGAAAAACTCCACTAAAAACTTTCCCCTAATCAGCCCAAAATAAACTTCTTGTATCTTTTCGGCGCTCCGGCTTTTAATGACTAAATCTTCCACAAATCAAATGAAAATAAACCGAAAAACGATATTCCGGACTTCTAAACAAACAGAAGACAGCACGAAAAGACTTGCCAAATGGGCCCCAAATATTACCATCATCTTCCTCCAACTAGAGTTGCCTAGAGTTCCTTCACCCCAAATATTACCATCACCTTCCTCCAACTAGAGTTGCCTAGAGTTCCTTCACCAGTAGGATTCTTGGTACAAAAGTAGGGTAACATAAGAAAACTGCAGTGCAATAGGGACCTTCCAAAGAGCATGCATACTAGGCCCTCGAAATTTTTTTCAAACAGAATAGCTAACATAAGAAAAATACGGCCAACAATGTAGAATCTCCATGAATCAAACTGAACCAGACCTTGATGTCCTCTAACATCAAACACCCAAATCCTTTGATCTCAGAAAAGTTCCATACAGGTCCTGAAAGTTTTCCATAGTAGTAGGCAAAACAGACAAAGCAGAAAGGGCAGAAGCAAGGACAGAGACAAACAAGCAAAAATACCAAAAGACAAATAAACAAACAAATCCGCACCAATAAAAATACCTACTACGTACTACGTACTAAGAAAACATCCACAGAACGATAGGTAGAAACAATGCCCAAGGGATAAACTCTGAAAAACCAGAACAACTACACTTACTGTAGTAATACTACTTAACCTTACTCACTTGGGAATAGCTCAACCCAAACCCACCCAATTGCCACCCATACCAACAAGGGAGAGCCCTGCCAGCAGCATCAAGAAAAACTAGAAAACATAAGTCCCAAGGGGGTTCCAACAGAACAAAATCTTCATGATCCAATCGATTCCTATCTATCCGGTCCGCTGCAGAGTTTCCTTTTCGGTGGGTTTGCCTGTACAAGATTCTTGCTGTAGATCTTTGAGATAGATGCTTGCAATCTTCGAGAAAGACGTTTCCAGGGAATCGCCTTATACGACAATGGACTCAGTTAACCTGCAAATCTAGTTTATGGGCCTCAAGA